TTACAATGTTTAGATAAATTGTTAGTGTTTTAATATTTAGTTACAATGCTTAGATAAATTGTTAGCGTTGTAGTGTTTAGTTACAATGTTTAGATAAATTGTTAGTGTTTTAATGTTCAGTTACAATGTTTAGATAAATTGTTAGTGTTGTAATCTTTAGTTACAATGTTTAGATAAAGTATTAGTGTTGTAATGTTGTACTGTTTCGTTACAATGTTTAGATACATTGTAGGGTGGTAATGTTTAGTTACAAGGTTTAGATAAATTATTAGTGTTGTAATGTTGTAATGTTTAGTTACATTGTTTAGATAATTTGTTAGTGTTTTAATGTTTAGTTACAATGCTTAGATAAATTGTAGTGTTGTAATGTTTAGTTACAATGTTCAATACTAAATTGGTGCAATTCATAGTAAATTCATAGTAAAATGCACTTGATTCGTATAAAAGTGACACTATTTGACTATTTTTATATTGTATATTATTATAGAAAAACCGTATAATAATAATGATTAAGTAAGAAATAAAAATACAGTGTGAAATAATTTGCTTGGCTCAGTAATATTTGGTTACAATAATAAACGCATAACTTTTTAACGTTTATTATTGTAACCAATGTTTAGTTACAATGTTTAGATAAATTGTCAGCGTTGTAATGTTTAGTTACAATGTTTAGATAAATTGTAGTGATGTAATGTTTAGTTACAATGTTTAGATACATTGTAGTGTTGTAATGTTTAGTTACAATGTTTAGATAAATTATTAGTGTTGTAATGTTTAGTTACAAGGTTTAGATAAATTATTAGTGTTGTAATGTTTAGTTACAATGTTTAGATATATTGTTAGTGTCAGCAGTGGCGGATCCAGAGGGTTTTATTTGGCTTCAGGAAACCCCCCACCCTGAGAATTTTCTTTAAAATCATGTATTTTCGCCATTTCCTCAATTTTTCCCCACATGGAAACCCCTGCAGGAAATTTGGACCCCCCCCNAGTTACAATGTTTAGATAAATTGTTAGTGTTGTAATGTTTAGTTACAATGTTTAGATAAATTGTTAGTGTTTTAATGTTAAGTTACAATGTTTAAATAAATTGTAGTGTTGTAATGTTAAGTTACAATGTTTAGATAAATTGTTAGTGTTGTAATGTTTAGTTACAATGTTAAGATAAATTGTTAGTGTTTTAATGTTTAGTTACAATGTTTAGATAAATTGTTAGTGTTGTAATGTTTAGTTACAATGTTAAGATAAATTGTTAGTGTTTTAATGTTTAGTTACAATGTTTAGATAAATTGTTAGTGTTGTAATGTTTAGTTACAATGTTAAGATAAATTGTTAGTGTTTTAATGTTTAGTTACAATGTTTAGATAAATTGTTAGTGTTGTAATGTTTAGTTACAATGTTAAGATAAATTGTTAGTGTTTTAATGTTTAGTTACAATGTTTAGATAAATTGTTAGTGTTGTAATGTTTAGTTACAATGTTAAGATAAATTGTTAGTGTTTTAATGTTTAGTTACAATGTTTAGATAAATTGTTAGTGTTGTAATGTTTAGTTACAATGTTTAGATAAATTGTTAGTATTTTAATGTTTAGTTACAATGCTTAGATAAATTGTAGTGTTGTAATGTTTAGTTACAATGTTTCAATACTAAATTGGTGCAATTCATAGTAAATTCATAGTAAAATGCACTTGATTCGTATAAAAGTGACACTATTTGACTATTTTTATATTGTATAGTATTATAGAAAAACCGTATAATAATAATGATTAAGTAAGAAATAAAAATACAGTGTGAAATAATTTGCTTGGCTCAGTAATATTTGGTTACAATAATAAACGCATAACTTTTTAACATGCACGCAGTGTTGGATATATTTAGCGGATGCCTGGTACCAGGAATCAATCAAACAGTCTGACGATCTGCCGTTATCCTGGTACATCAATTAAAATGGGTTTGTAGCCTCGTTATCGGTATTCAACTGTATAAGTTGTATCATGTGACCTGTTACGTAACCCCACAGGTTTCCTTTCTTAGTCGATAACTGCAACGCCACAGACATTGATGTGGTGGCACTTTCGCCTTTTAATTGCATCGTTCCAGCTAATAGAGCTGAAGCTCCCATATAGCTCTTCTTTTAAACGGCGTTCAAACCTAACAGCATGGTATATCGAGGTTTCAGCGGTGCGTAATAAGTAACGAGCAGCTGACCGAAACTCTGTACCAGGAAACATGTACTGGGTCACAGTCGGTACATTAACTGTCTTTGAGTATTCACATACAGTGCAACACGTTAGATCCGTCTCGTTTCAGAAAGCTGGCGTTTACGCAGCTTTAAACATCTAATGCATATTCCCAAAGTACCTAAAAGGAATGCTTTCTGTGGATATATTCTGGCTCACATTTGGGCCTGTTGTGAAATGTATAAATGGAAAATAATGTCAAACAGGGTTTAAAAATGTCCGTTGTCAAAATACCAAATCGATTTATAACCATCATATTTCGATTCCTTTCACCCGAAAGTGAAAATGAATGATGTGTCACGCAGCGTGATAAAGAATTTTGACAGAATCGATCGCTTCCCCCATGTCAGGTTTAGCACGGATATGTTATACATGTATACATATCAAGACATTGCATTGGGTTGAACCACGTGATTGATTGAATTTGACTCTTGAACTTATATATTCCCAATGTTATTAATTTCTCTTTGTCGGTATCAGTTCGTACATTACCCCTCCATTTTCTGTATCGATGGATCTGACATTTATACGGTGGAATTGATGCCAAATGCCATCATTGCTACTTCTTTCAGCAATGATGTTGTTGCCAATTATCCAAGCAAAATCTTTAAGTGGTAAATAGCGAGAGTTTGATAAATATTCTACAACGGAAGTCGCTAACATTTCCTGGTTTTTCCGCATCTTTGTTCTGTAGCAGATAGCATGTTGTCTTTTGTAGTAATTACGAGCATCTCAGCCTGAGGGGATATCCTTGACAAATTGTGAACTATAAATGTTAGTGTTATCACGCGAAAACAGCGAACTACATGTTAATGTATCAAAATCATTAAATATATATTTTAATCTGTCCGTCAATGCCGAAAATATACAATTCGTTGATAACGAATGTGATAACATTTTAATGCAGCATTATCAGGAAACAGATATTCTATTTCTCGTATAAGAATGTTTATCATCCAAAGTATGAACACAAATAAAGGATAAACCGCAGCAGACTGAGTAAAAGGTTTCATTGTTGATTGATTGACCTTCTTTTAGTGACAATTTTATGATCAAAATAATTGAAACCTAGAGCACCGAATAGTACCAGGAACGTAGTCAATGGGAGGTCGGGATTCTCCTTGGTATTTTCCTTGTCGTTGGTAAATCAATTCAACCTGTAAATAAGGTTTTTTATGACCTTATCATAAAATACATAATACGGAACAAGTCCATTTTAAATAATTGCAAAACAAAGATTACGTCATAGTTATTAATTGTATCTCCGCGAAACAGCAACCGTATACAACAGTCTTATACTTCATTGAAGCAGCAATGATATAGCCTTACTTAGCGATGCATGTCATTTTCAGCGAATGTACTGGGCATTCATATTGCCTTTGAATCTCACCTTAAGGCAGTTATTTCTTTTATTTATGTAACCCAGTGAACTTTGTACATATACTATATATGCACGTAGCCTACCTACGTACTGTTGTACAGTCAAGTGACCTTGGCATTGTCCTGTGTTGTTATGTAAATGTCTGACACTGACCTGGACTTAGGACAGTACGCAATGCAACCACTTACGTATTCAATTTCCCGCCTGTTCTTCCTTACTAACTTCCTGTTAAGCTGACCACCCCGATATGTGAGTCAGTATGTGTCTGGCTCGCGAGGGCGACACATTCCTTATAGATCTAGTATACCTCTAGATAAGACTCCTACACCTCCTCGCAGAGATTGGAGTAATAGAAGGGAACACCGGATAGTTTGGTAAGCAGAGTGTGTTAGTGCGTGTTCTACTTTCGGCTTATGTAGAGACGTTGCATCGTAAGTGTTAATGCAGCAGTGACCCAGCATTAGCCATCAAATTATATATTCCCTTATGAATGTTTATGCAGTATCGTCTCTTCTCTGTTATGCTTTAAACTGCTGAGTTCCAAATCATCGCCTCTTCTGAACTGATAGACACCAATCCACTCTTGTTGCTGTCGATGTCCAATCAGAATTTTATTAGAAGAACCATTCAGTACAAATATAAAACTGAAACGTAATACCATTATAGTTTGAGAGATGTGTTGTGTCCGTTACTGAATTTATCTTCTATATAATAAAAAAATAACCTCAATGTCCTCCTATGCATACATTTAGACGTTTTAACCCAGAGCCGTCTGGCTTTGTCTATGACGGTCATTGGATACGGCAGTGTAATTGTATTACCCTCCTTATAGCCTGCCTGCTTTTATGCCTTGTTACACCGTTTATATATGTAAATCTTACTAAACGAGGTAATGTTTTAGGCAAAGATGTGGCCTGCACAGCATCTCTGACAAAACAAAGGAAATAACTCTTGATTGCATTTTCTACATGTATGAAAGGGATTGTTTATGGGTTCACAGTAAGACGGGACATCCCGTCCCAGGAGTCCCCTTCCCCGGTGACATAGGCTTACCGCACAGTTACTCTATGCATAGCAAATTGTTGCTACCGTAGCGCTGTAAGAAATCTCCTAATGGATATCATACAAAGACTGCTTGTCACTCATTGAGCACCATTCTCTTCGCTTTCGCAATGAACTTGTCTAATGAAAGCAAAACACTGCCACCTATGAATTTTAAGTAGAACTGCTGCATTGTTGAGCTTACTTTGGTGTGTATATTTCAAGCACATACTATTTGGTGGCGGCGCTAATGACTCCTTAAATCTGATACGACATTGTAGTGACACGCATATCAATGTTAAACAACATATATGTATATTCATTGTCCTTATTACTTGCAGTGTTACCGTTATGCCATGGCCCGGGATGAACCAAATCGGAAGAGGAAATGAACTCAGTCACGTGGAAAGCTAAATCACCACAAAGGTTTGTAAGAGGGCACAGTGAAATGTCAACGGAGTCAGCATCAGTATCAAGCGTGCACTGAGGTACGGCGGGAGTGTGTCGGGAGACTCCGTCAACAATCAGGTGTACTCGGGACAAAATGGGAACACGTGCCACCAGATAGAAATATGCACTGTGATATATCCTCTACTTATCTACCCTACACTCGTAGTTGGAATTATATTTATGTCGATGTAGTATAATAGATGTTCATGTTTCTATGAACTGTAAAATTACAATCGTTGTTGGAACTGCATCTGTGTCAAACTAGTAGAGAAATTCATATTCTCATGAACTTTGGCTGAAAAAGTTTTCCTCGCTACATCTGGCGTAATTTTTGCCACAGAACTTATACCGAAAGTGAGATTACCACCTCGTGGATGTTTTGATTGAGAATTGTGATTTATCACGCAACAAGGAAAGGGAACATATGACCTAATATGTAACTACAAACTATAACAACATATTTCCTATAAATATAGTAATCGAAACGTGTATTGATTTTGACTGAAAGTGAGTGGACCAGTTCTAGGGGAATTTATATTAGTTTGATTGACGAAATTTTCCCATTAACCAACTGGCTTGTACCGTATACGTTTTATTAAATATAATTTAAGCTTTTTTCTTATCAACCAAACATCTAAAACAACATGGATTTCGCAAGCTCCAATAACGTACTTCGTGTCTTTTGCTGGTGTGTGATTTGGATGTTGGGGCCATCTCCAATTTCTTATGTGAATTCCCAAAGACCATCTCTGGGGCTAAAAATTCTTATGCCGGATTTATTCAAAATGCAAGAACCAGTGAGAAAAGCCATCCAGATGGTAAGGACTTCCTCCTTTCGTCGGCGACAAATCAGGTCTCTTAAGCTTGATATTCAGAAATCGGACATTGGTGACAATCCGTCGGAGATATTTGAATTGTTTTGCTCCAATATTTTACCCAATCAAATCAACACAGTGTTGTATCTGACGTTAAAAGACGACTCTGGCTTCATCAGACTCACGGATTATATGAACAACATCATACACGATATAGGCCTACCCCTACTATCGTGGAACCCCTACCTGACTGGTCCAATACAGGTAAGCACAAAGGTAACCCATCTACAGAATAACTATGGGTTGGTGATATTGAAATAACTGCAAATTTATTTCATTCCTGAAAAATACCTTTACATGTCTTAATTGGTTTACAAAACAATGCAAATCTGCGAAGACACACTTATTACTTTTCTTTATATCCTGCCACGAAAATAAAACATCGTTGCTTGCTGCGCATAAAGGTGGTGCGCACGTCATTGTATCTCGACATCTATAGACGATTTACACCGATGTGCATTCTCGATAAAACATAGTGCCTGTTTCGTTTCTGCTTGGTAGATCATATAAACTGTAATTACGGTATCTAATGTCTTAATAACTATGATGTTCGAGTTAAATTACCGATAAAACAATACAAACGATGTATTTGTGAACACTCTAAACAACACTGAATACCTGGTACCGTGTTTCATTCGGAATACAACAATATTTCTAATATCAACGAGCAAAAGATTTTTATCGTATTATGTATCTGTATTTAAAATAATGCTAAAAACATGAAGTTACATTATCGTGGAAAACAGTCTCATTTGTAATGTTGTGGAGCTGTTAGCCTGGTCATGCTTAGATAATAAAACACAGTTGCTTAGAAAGTATGTAACACTATAGATTAATGTTGTAAACATTTTCTCAGATTTTAATTGTGTAGTTGAAGGTATTAAACCTTTTATAACTTGCCCATGTTGATGATATCATATCGTCATTAGAATTTTGATTCCATTACTGTAAATAAGGAATGCGATAATGATTCCCTATGTGTACATGTATATTGATCGTCGCTTGTTTAAGTATGGAGTGATGATACCTCTCCAACAGTCAATAAAACACAATGACTACTAACATGTTAAAAGTAATCATGTGTTTGGAGATGACCGTGATGGCGATAGGTAAGAGATCACCATGATAAAGTCACAATCACATAGAGAGACGTAATCAAGCTTACAACAGGCACTCTCATTACTTCACATGGGAGCCTATTCCACAGATAGTTTCGTAGTAATCGAGTATACTAACACATTGTTACTTCAAATTTCGGTCGAATCGTCAACAATTTATAGATATATCTGGCTACTTGATAAGACAGTTGGGTAAATAAACAATTACAAATATTATTTGGCAGCAATGTTTGCATGCCTATCGTTATGTACAAAGAAAAGCGTTTGCTTATGTCTAAAATATTTAAAAACATTCTAGATAATGTAGCTACGAATAACCGTTTCCGAGTAAATATTGACTTGCTTAAACGTAGCCTGTCATTAATAATAACAGGAATCACCACATTGGGATTCATCCGTGAAACTCAAAAACTAACAACAATAATAGTTGGCTTTCGGTAGAAATAATCTTGGAAGATTTCGTAGAGATTTGCAAGATCTCGCTTATGTAAGTCATGTCCCGTGGAGGACGAAAGGCTATGATCTACCAGGCGGCGCTGTTTAGTGTCTGACAGGACAACCTCTCACGGGATTACACTCCGATAGGCGAGAGCTTTTCTGGCAACAAACTCGACTGCAAACTGCCTGATCGATATTCATAAAAAGCTCGATATGTCCTTAAATCCAGAATCTTGTAAGAAGATCGTATTCTTTACCAACCGAAATGGTTAGATGGTTATATATGCTGCACGTTGTTGTCGAATCTTAGGGGACTTTCTATTTAAAGGTGCGTGAAGAGCTAGCGATGGCAGGACCTTCACTTGTCCCTTCTGGGACGGGGCATCTCCAGAGCAGCGCGCTACGCTGTCATGAAGCATTCGTTCTATTGGCGCGAGCATCAATTCTGATCTCTGACGAGTGGCAGCTTATCATATAGCTTAGACGGTATGCTAACGAGACAGTTGTCTTTATTATTTGATTGTTAGTTGGGTTTTTGTCGTTTAAGGTCGTTTATCAAAGGAATTGTACTATTCTCAATACATATGTCGAATAAAAATACTTGGATCAATATGAACGACTTTGTCGCGTGATATTTTTTCGACAAAGATATTGCCTTGGTTCTTTGCAACCGGTAAGCTAAAACAAAAAGGCCATTAACTCATTGAAAGTTTGTTTAACAAATCATTTCCTTATGCAATATCGGTTATGTAAGAAGGTATGTGATTTCGATTGTTTTATGTTAGAGGATCTGATTTTACGCGGTTTAACATTTGAGTATCTGTTATTCGAGTTGGACGTTAGAACGGGAGCTGTGATTTCGAGATTCACGCTATGGGGTATGTTAACATTTAAAGGGTTCGCTAACCCCACGTTTACGTTAAAGGGTGCCTGGTACTGCTACTACTTCCTCCATATTTATCTGTCAGTAATGATTCCCGTACCTCACTAACGATCCGCTCCCGGCAAGGCGGCCATGTTTATACTGCATCGCCATCTGTACTTATTGTACCCCTCCCCCAAACATACTTCACGGAGTGACTATTCATTGTGTGAGCTCGCTTCTACACAAATGAACAGCAAACCGTTAACACAAACGCGGTCGGACGTCCATGTGTGGTTAATTAAGAGTTTAAGTATGATGGATGGTTTCAATATAGATGATGTACACAATGTCTTTACTGTCTTGTACTTATATTGTATATATATGAAGTAAATCCATACTCTATTACATGTCGATATGTTTGATAAAAGATGATGCTAAACTAAGGTCAATGAAAGCGAACGGAATCACGTCTAGTACATACAAATATTGATAAATGATGTCGTATTTTGACATTTCTATACTCGATGATTTACGACAGAGACTGCGATTTGCGATGTATATTCGACTGTTTACTCTGTAGCCCATGATTTACTATAGAGTTGATGATTAGCTATGGAGTCCACGATTTAGAATACAGTTTGTGATTTACTTACACAGTATTTACAGAGTCGCCGAGTTCATATAAAGTCCAAGATTTACTTTGAAGTATATGATTTACTTAAGAGAAATAATTCACTGAGTGGATTATTTTCTCTCAAATCGGTGATTTTTTTTTCTATAAATCGATGATTTACTAGCAAGTCAAAATTTACTCAGGATTCAATATCCTACAATGCCGACGATTTACTTTAAACCCGGTGATTTAATGAAATAAAAATCCTTAAAAATGACTAGTTAATAATTACAATACAAAGTATAACATACAGTTCGCTTTATTGACAAAAATCCTCATATATTAAAAGGTTACAAACGAATAAGATTGTATGTCATTCACGTTATATTCAAGGTTTACTGATTAAATTTTGATATGGTCATATTAGATCGCTTTATAATAACAAATATATCAGCAAATTATGTAATGGATAAACCTCTCCTTGTGTTGAAATGTTCCGGACCGACATTATCCCGCGAATTCTACACTATACATGAATATACATTTCTGACGAAAGCGCGAAAATACAGTATTTAAAACGTTCCATCGTGCTGTACTGACAGATAAATCAGACGATACATGTTACATGCTGTTTTATCACACTTGTCATTGTGTATAAACAAGAGCTATGATAAACGTTATAACTTGCACTGACACATTATTTATACAATTCTCATTTATCATCTTCAATATTGGAATTGTTTTGACAGAATAAATTTTCTTTCGTGAGGCAGGTCTCCTCGGTACACACGGGATGGTGACTGTCGGTAAATAGATGCTTTTCGAATTATTGCAGCCGTACCATTCTTTTTTTCATATCTTTAACCAGTTGTACGGACATTGATATACGGTGTGCAAGACTAATAGAATATCTTACACCAGGGCAAATTAGACCGAGAATTCTTTACCCGAGGGTAAGATTTTTCTAAGTTCAGCGCTAGTTTTTGCCTAGTGATAAATTTTAAAACCTTATCGTAAGGGTTGAGATTCCTCCTACTCCACACAGGAGTGATCGATTATTTTTTTCTCACAAATTTCTATTCATAAACGTAAAATAAGTTTTAAAAGGGGAACCTATTGCACCGCGCAAACATCAAAGTACGGAAGTCCATTGGTGCCAAATGAAATCAAGGGCGTATATAATGTGAGATAAAATCGATGACGCTACGCTGATACATGTAGCACTGCGTAAAGTGATGACGCGATGGTGGCGTTTTCAAAATAAAAGTACATTTGAGGTGTGTTTGAAAAGAAGGTAAAGATAAGTTTTGCAAAAGGAATTTGAGAGCTATTTCCTCGTTAACATTTAAGCAAGCTAGCTGTGGCCACCTCAAGATCTATAGTGCGCTGACACAAGGATCTGTACATTCATGCTGCTTGGGATAAACGTATCAGATGTACCAGGATGAAAGCGCAATATTTGTATAATATACATACATAATATTAAATAATATATGTACCATCAGTGTAACCCTGATATACCGCCATCTTCCGTTCAAAGATATGTTGGCGGTACAACGATTTGTCCCTGTTAAATCTGTAGCAATGCTTGTTTGTTTTGGCGCACACACAACACTTAACACTGAAAACTCCAACATACATGTAAATTTAGGAAGAATAATTAGATGTGAAATCTTCAATTAGATCTAGTTTTACAATCAGTGTGTCACATGGCAGATACACACTTTACGAGTACTGCTGCGAGAGTGAAGAAACATATAGATGTAAATGTTAGCCATGCGCCACTATATCACATCCTCTATAACATTCAAAATTGTGACGTTGATATGGCAATGAAATTTCGTCTCTATGTCTCGAATATCGTCCGAGTGTGATTCGAAAGTCTAGCAGTGATTTGGTAATGTAACGACGACATATGTTTCAGCGGTGAGCATTCTAGTAGAATTCAAAAGGCGTACACTAGAGTGGGTGGCGCGGGGTTTTGGTAGGACATTCTTGCTTGGTTCAGAATTCTAGAAGGATTAGGGATGTAATTGTTGAGGTTTGGTAGGGTGTTGTAGTGTGATTTACAAGTCTTTTGATGCGTTGGAGCTGTGAGGTTTGATGGGCGTTATAGTGTGATTAATCAGTGTATTAATCAAATATTAGTCGAGCGTTTTATAATAAGTGG